AAGTTCAAGTAGGACTTTAGTTTAATTATTTTTTCAAATCATAATGTTCTCGTGTCTGGGGATTTATATTTTATCGAATATACCGGCTTACTGAAATTGAGATCAATACAATTTTTCTGAAAGTTATAATGTTTTTGACTACATCCTTGTCAATGACATGAGTCTTCAATTAATAGCAGATAGAAAAATATTGAAATTATTATTCATTATAATAGATACTGTTTTCATCGACTAATAAGTAAAAATAAGTCTCCTTGAATCGAAGTAAATATTAAAAACAACCGAAAGTTAAATGCACAGACTGGTCTTCTTATTATTGTGTTGTCTCTTTCAAATTGCATACTTTTTTTTTCACTTCTTATTTTTCGAAGAATCATTCACTTTATATGAGCATGATAAATAAGTTTGGCTTCGTGATTGGTGTGTGTGTGGGGTGTGTGGGGGCGATGGAGGATGGTTCTTGATAAACTCCTTTTAATGTAGTACAGTGAAGTCAGGTATATTTTGTATCATAACTTCAATACCGATGTAATGCATTGGTTGTATAAGAATAAAACAAAAGATGTATGCATGTTTATCAGTATTTACCTGATTTTGATACCGAAGATCTAAACTTAGTGTCACATAAATTTAAAAAAAAAATACTTGCTAAATGCTCATATAATTACAAGTAATGGAATCAAGTCAAGTTCCAACCTTTCGATTAAGGCAGATTGGTATATGTTATGGTGTTATAATACAGCTAGATAATGATCCACAATACAGACTGATTATCTATGTCAAATTTGGCTCACCAATCTTCGATGTGACAATATAAAAAAAAGTCAAAGACCAGTTCAAACAATAAAAGAAGTAAGTATGAAATATGCAGTGAAAAAAATCCAGGATAATAATAACCTTCTTAGCCACCATCCGCTTCAACCCTGTTTTATCAATATGATAATCAAATGATTGCTAAGTTAAAGGTTTATATAATTATATTCTTAACCACCATCCGCTTCAATCCTGTTTTATCAATATGATAATCAAATGATTGCTAAGTTAAAGGTATTTATAATTATCTTCTTAGCCACCACCGCTTCAACCCTGTTTTATCAATATGATAACCAAATGACAGCTCTGTTAAAGGTATATATAATTTTCGATACGCTATGTCAGAAATTATCGATGGGTTCGGCATTGACTTTGATCATTTTTTTTTTCTCAACAAAACACATCAATGTGATAAACTGCTAGTTCTCACATTTAATTATCTGCTTTCGGAAATTCTAAATTAAATGTTAGTATGCAATATACATTTGTTTGTTACATGTTTATTAAATAAGTGATAATCAAAATTTCTGCAATTTAGTTGGTATCTTACTTGAAACTTTGAATCAAAGTGATGTTCATACAAAACCAAATCATTTTAAAAGTCTTTTCTTACATTTCAACAATTTTAAACCACCATATTTTATCTAGAAATGTCATATAATACCGTAAACCTTTTAAACATTAGATTAAAACATGACACAATAAGCAATTAAAATCTTTACGCTATACTTTGAATATCAAAACAAGACGCTGCATATATTTTATCAAAAGAAGATTCTCTTGTTTGCTCCTAAACATTTGCAATAAATCAGTAGATTTCTATGAAACACTGACATTTTGTCATTGGGTAAAAGATTTGTTATGCCTGCTCAATTCTAGTAATAGAAATCTTTAATCAAGCAAAAACATTGTTTCAAGTTGATTTTTCGTCAAGAAAGATGAACGGATGAAATATTTGTTTATTATTTCTGCTTTTTCCGATTTAATATTCTGTGAAGATCAATTGCCTTTCGTTGATATTATAAGATATAAATTTTCTTGAAAGTGTCTTAATTCCATCACTTTGATTAAATTATGCCCTGTTACTTCAAGGGTTATAACTTTTTAACGCCGTTTACGAAACAAGACGTCAATATTCCATCCCACTGTTGTTGATTTGTGTAAGCCAATTACACCAAGGATAATAGAATTCATATCAACCGTGTCTGCTGCAGCAAATTGCGTAATGAAATGTCAAATTGATAAATACTGTGGTAATAAAGATAATATACAATTGTACTTTCGTTTTCAATTTTAATGACAAAATACGTCAAACAGACTTTTTTAATGCTCATCACAAGAAACAAAAATCCCGTACAAAACATGAAAAGATATACATATACGAGGGCTCAGGAATTATTTTCCCCTAATGTTCAACTTTAAGTCTTGTTTTTTCAGTATGTTAAACTGTTGTTTATAGATATAAGAAGATGTGGTATGAGTGCCAATGAGACAACTCTCCATCCAAGTCAAAATTTTAAAAAGTAAACCATTAAAGGTCAAAGTACGGTCTTCAACACGGAGCCTTGGCTCACACCGAACAGTAAGCTATAAATGGCCCCAAAAATTACTAGTGTAAAACCATTCAAACGGGAAAACCAACGGTCTAATCTATATAAAAAACGAGAAACGAGAAACACTTATGAACCACATCAACAAACGACAACTACTGAACATCAGATTCCTGACTTGTTTCTTTTTTTTCAGAAATATTTATAGAACATATATTTATATGAACAATTACAATAAATATCAATAAAAAGCACATGTGAAAATACAAACATAAGGTATTAAACTACAAACTAACTAGGAGGAGTGACCCTCACATTTATATTTTTTTTATAAATCTACACAGTTTGTGGAGAACTATATGGTTACTCGAGCTCATTAATTGTTAAAAATATATATTTGGACAAAAAATACAATAGTGTGGTAACAACCTCTTTCTGCTTTGATTTAGAGCATGACATGACATGACATAATGATATTCATCACCGAATCACTTGATTCGCAAAGATGGCCTGAAATAATTCCGTCTTGCAATAGGACCAAATGTCATGCTACTCATTTGTATACATTGCTGTATTCACTGGTAAAACTATTTATCAAAAGTATTGCATTTCCAAATAAACAAATGCTTGGTACGTTCTCTGGTAGGATATTGATTATGACTTTGAAAAAAAATCCTTGTTTAAGAGGAGTTTTGAAAACAAATATCAATAAAACAGAGTTATCAAAAGGGCGCAGGACTTAATAAGTTTACCCGTACAGACCACAAAATCACAAACATTTTTTTAAAGTTAAACAGAGATAAAACGAAATATTAATGGATGGAACATTCAAAATTTTGCACCAAATTTTTAAGCAGCTTTATCACTGCCTGTAACCGAGTACGGCAGAAAGTGATTTTCTCCCGATTAAAGTACTGATTTTCCTTGATTTTGTACTGATTTTTTATGATAAATTCTACACTTTAGTTCTAAAATTCAATTTAAGTAGCTTGAACTAATCAATTGGTTAAAGGTCATTTATCCTGTCTGGTCAGCGGTCATTAGTAAGTGATATCCTGAGGTGGGATTGCCTTGAAGTTACATCATGACCTTCCTTATTCTTTGTTTTGATGCAGCTGATTTGAGTCAGAATTTTTCAGTTTTAGCCTGCTTTAAGAAAACTGTGAGTATGAATTTGATTTTTTTTTTCATGAACTTTTTTCAAATATTATAATCTAATAATTGTAAGTAGAAATTTGGACAGAATAAGCATTTAAATGAAAAAAAACATTGCAATTAAACTTGAACTTTGGTGTACAAATTGTCCCCGATCAGCTTGTGTTGAGTACAGATTTTCCCTGATTCCTATACAGATTGTCCCCGATTTTGAAAAAGCTAATCCTTTCATAATGAAGCTAATATCTGGATCTTTATTATAATTAGGCAGGTGCTAATAAAAAATAATGGAATTAATAAAAAAAACATTAACAAAAAACCTCATTTATGCAGATTACGGTCATTTTCCTGCAAAACCATAATTCTGTAATTTTATATATAAAATTGAACTAGAAATTTGTTGTTCATGGATATTTGCTGAAACAGTTTGATTTATGACAACCAAGAATCAACTCTGCATAATATAACTGCAAACTGATAATATTAAAAAAGTAAAAATTTGAGTTTTCTACAGAATTAAGTACCAGCTCCAAATTGTCAGCCTTCACATTTTCCTTTTTTAAGCATTTAGTGGGCAACATTTTCAAGCACTGGTTTTAAATTTTCTCACCTTGTTCTTGTTCTGAATATGCATGAAATATTGGTTACTGGACGTTAAACAAGCAATCATTCATCGTGTACTTTTATTTCGATCTCATTGAAAATTTTGAAATCAAAATATGTGTTAAAAGTGTAACATGCGTATTACCGGTACTCTTATTTCTTATCTTCAGAACATGAATAACCTAAAAGTCTGTACTTATGAAGAAGGAAATGAGACTCTAGCAGGGTCAGATTCCGAGGTTAATGTAAATCAGCAGTTGATTGTGGCACCTAAAAGCTCTGAGAAAAAACTGTTCATATGTCAAGAATGTCCATACAAGTCCTCTTACAAATCAAATTTAATGCGCCATATGAGAACCTCTCACAGAACGGCCGAAGGGATTGTGTGCAATGAATGCGGACGAACATTTTCGTCAAATGAACAACTAGATGACCACAAAAGAAGTCACAAACGTGATTATTATTGTGAGGTGTGTGGAAAAAAATACGGTTCCAAGAAAGTAATAAGACTTCATAAGAAGATAGTCCACGAAGGGGCTAAGCCTAAATATAACTGTTCCATTTGCGGGAAAGAGTTTAAAGAAGTTTCCCATTACTCTGGTCATATCAATAAACACCATGGACTTACCCCATTTGAATGCCTAAAATGTAAAAAGAGTTTTTCTTACAAATCAAACCTTCAAAGACATTTGAAAACGTGTGATGGTGAAAAACAGGATTTTACATGTGACATATGTCTTTCACAATTTACATCTAAAGCTAGCTTGAAAGAACACAAGATTTGGAGACATGACAAAATAAGACAGTATGCTTGTTCTTGTGGCGAGAAGTTTTTATGGAGATCATCAATGCAAAAGCATAGAAAAAACTGTAGCTTGTAAAATTATTTAGTATTAAAAAAGCATTAATATTCCATTCATTGTTTTCATTTATGAAAAAGTTTATCACACATCGGGAATATCCATAAAACCATGTCTCAAATGTGGTAAAATTAAACTTTCATCTCTACGATGGTATTTTCGAACACCTGATTCTCCCCTCGATGGAGCCTGATGAATGCTGACATCCCCCTTTTTCCGTTTAGGCTTGCTCTTTTTTCGGTCTGAATTGTCAAATATAAAGTGGTCTCTGAAATAGAAATAAATTTTCTTTAAGTTTTTATATACTTCTAAATAAATTGTTAAACCACACAACTGATTCATCATTTAATTTAAATCATAAGTTAACTAACCAAAGAACCCTTACAATAGACCATGGTGACATTTAGTCCTGACTTTTGAACAGTAAATTCTAGGCTGAAAAACTAAATCATAGAATATTAAAACTAAATCTGATCATATAGGGGTTACAAAATACTTTCTAGTTACAATACAAACAAACAAACAAAAAACAACAAATAGAGTAATTCATTTTATAAAAAATATATAATCTGACATTTCTCACCTTATGAATCGAAGTTTTTTATTTGCCAAAAAAGTTGTAACGATTAGAGCTAAATATGTTAAATCCATAATTTGTTTTTTTCTGATGTCAACATTTAAAAGTCCATACTTACAAAGGTGTGATAGCGTCAATTCCATTTGGAAATGGTGGTTTCCAGCCTTTCACAATATTTTCCTGGTTATCCATATCTAGAGGATGTATGGGATAAACTGATGATGCAGTTGTCCTAATGAAGAAAGGTCTGAAAAAAATATAAGACAAATGCAGATAAATGTAAAAAAACAAAAAACACTATTAATATATACCTTTATTGTTGACATTTAGGTGTAATACCACCATTGATTTTCCCCTATTAGTCTTTGTTAAATTTGCACTTTTCAAAAAATTGTGCAGAATTTATCTTTGTTTCAAATAAAGAAATACTTGGCATGAGTAAAGTTTTATCCTGTCCAGTACTATAGAAAAAATTTCACATAACATTTCATTGCATATAAGAAAATAACCATCACTGGAAGTTAACCAATCAAATTTTCCCCCTTTTTTAACCTGTGTACAAGCTTTAGTAACCATGTAACCTCAAGTTTCCAAAATATTCTATAGAAACCCCAAATAAAAAAATAATTGTGCTTTGAAATACCCAAGATATATGTTTATTACCCAGAAATGTTTTACTGCAATGAAATGTAGGATCAATTACCTACAACTGTCAAATGCAAGGGAATATTTTTTTTCGACCTATTTTCGTATGCAACCGGATGTGACGTACTATGATTTGCTGGTATTACACCTAAAGAAGACTTTTTTGTTAAATAAACTGAATGTGACTTTTTTCCTTTGTAATACTGGTTATTTCAAGCATTCCTGTCAAGTTTTGTCATAATCAGTTCAATAGTTTGAGAAAAATCTAGTATAATGTAAGACGACATCTACAGCGATTCGAGCAAAATTTCTTCGAAAAATCCAAACCAAGCCGCATCATGATAGAATATAGTGTGGACCAATAAATTATCAAATATTTATCTCATCTGCCTACAAACAGTTGAATATGATACAAAAGAAGACTTTAGGATGATAAATACTACTAATGGACCTCTTTTTCTTCCTTATAAGGTCTCTTTTGGTCCATTTATACCTCTCATTTCCTCAAAATTTCTACTTTTTAGGCCAATAAATAAAAAAATGTGGGGTAACTTTCACTCATTTATGATAGAAATGTTATAATAAATGATTAATTGAAGTATTTAAGCTGAATGAACTATCCGTATAAAAGTTTACTGTCTCCAAGGAGGTTTCAATAAGTCCTTACGTAAAACTTAAATTTACGCCGCGTTCCAGAGTGGGACATAAAAAGCTTCTCTTTTGGTGAATAATTTGTTGTTACTGCTTTAAAAATAATTTCATTTACTTAAAACTATATATTTATTAAAGTATTTGTTAGGAAAAATTTTCTTGTATAGCAGAATATAAGAAATAAGGAGAAAAAGCTCCCAAAAACTCTAAGTATGGCTTGTTCTGTCAACTAATATTCATGGTAAAGTCCTATTTCAAGGAAATTTTCTCATAAAATGTGTTTTGGAGACTCAATCCACTCAGAATATTTCATTATTTGTAATATTTCACTTAAATAGCAAGAAATTTTAACACATGAGAGTACTCACAAGGTCAAAGGTGCATGTACAGCTTCCCATAAAGAAGACTTTTTTGTTAAATAAACTGAATGTGACTTTTTTCCTTTGTAATACTGGTTATTTCAAGCATTCCTGTCAAGTTTTGTCATAATCAGTTCAATAGTTTGAGAAAAATCTAGTATAATGTAAGACGACATCTACAGCGATTCGAGCAAAATTTCTTCGAAAAATCCAAACCAAGCCGCATCATGATAGAATATAGTGTGGACCAATAAATTATCAAATATTTATCTCATCTGCCTACAAACAGTTGAATATGATACAAAAGAAGACTTTAGGATGATAAATACTACTAATGGACCTCTTTTTCTTCCTTATAAGGTCTCTTTTGGTCCATTTATACCTCTCATTTCCTCAAAATTTCTACTTTTTAGGCCAATAAATAAAAAAATGTGGGGTAACTTTCACTCATTTATGATAGAAATGTTATAATAAATGATTAATTGAAGTATTTAAGCTGAATGAACTATCCGTATAAAAGTTTACTGTCTCCAAGGAGGTTTCAATAAGTCCTTACGTAAAACTTAAATTTACGCCGCGTTCCAGAGTGGGACATAAAAAGCTTCTCTTTTGGTGAATAATTTGTTGTTACTGCTTTAAAAATAATTTCATTTACTTAAAACTATATATTTATTAAAGTATTTGTTAGGAAAAATTTTCTTGTATAGCAGAATATAAGAAATAAGGAGAAAAAGCTCCCAAAAACTCTAAGTATGGCTTGTTCTGTCAACTAATATTCATGGTAAAGTCCTATTTCAAGGAAATTTTCTCATAAAATGTGTTTTGGAGACTCAATCCACTCAGAATATTTCATTATTTGTAATATTTCACTTAAATAGCAAGAAATTTTAACACATGAGAGTACTCACAAGGTCAAAGGTGCATGTACAGCTTCCCATAAAGAAGACTTTTTTGTTAAATAAACTGAATGTGACTTTTTTCCTTTGTAATACTGGTTATTTCAAGCATTCCTGTCAAGTTTTGTCATAATCAGTTCAATAGTTTGAGAAAAATCTAGTATAATGTAAGACGACATCTACAGCGATTCGAGCAAAATTTCTTCGAAAAATCCAAACCAAGCCGCATCATGATAGAATATAGTGTGGACCAATAAATTATCAAATATTTATCTCATCTGCCTACAAACAGTTGAATATGATACAAAAGAAGACTTTAGGATGATAAATACTACTAATGGACCTCTTTTTCTTCCTTATAAGGTCTCTTTTGGTCCATTTATACCTCTCATTTCCTCAAAATTTCTACTTTTTAGGCCAATAAATAAAAAAATGTGGGGTAACTTTCACTCATTTATGATAGAAATGTTATAATAAATGATTAATTGAAGTATTTAAGCTGAATGAACTATCCGTATAAAAGTTTACTGTCTCCAAGGAGGTTTCAATAAGTCCTTACGTAAAACTTAAATTTACGCCGCGTTCCAGAGTGGGACATAAAAAGCTTCTCTTTTGGTGAATAATTTGTTGTTACTGCTTTAAAAATAATTTCATTTACTTAAAACTATATATTTATTAAAGTATTTGTTAGGAAAAATTTTCTTGTATAGCAGAATATAAGAAATAAGGAGAAAAAGCTCCCAAAAACTCTAAGTATGGCTTGTTCTGTCAACTAATATTCATGGTAAAGTCCTATTTCAAGGAAATTTTCTCATAAAATGTGTTTTGGAGACTCAATCCACTCAGAATATTTCATTATTTGTAATATTTCACTTAAATAGCAAGAAATTTTAACACATGAGAGTACTCACAAGGTCAAAGGTGCATGTACAGCTTCCCATAAAGAAGACTTTTTTGTTAAATAAACTGAATGTGACTTTTTTCCTTTGTAATACTGGTTATTTCAAGCATTCCTGTCAAGTTTTGTCATAATCAGTTCAATAGTTTGAGAAAAATCTAGTATAATGTAAGACGACATCTACAGCGATTCGAGCAAAATTTCTTCGAAAAATCCAAACCAAGCCGCATCATGATAGAATATAGTGTGGACCAATAAATTATCAAATATTTATCTCATCTGCCTACAAACAGTTGAATATGATACAAAAGAAGACTTTAGGATGATAAATACTACTAATGGACCTCTTTTTCTTCCTTATAAGGTCTCTTTTGGTCCATTTATACCTCTCATTTCCTCAAAATTTCTACTTTTTAGGCCAATAAATAAAAAAATGTGGGGTAACTTTCACTCATTTATGATAGAAATGTTATAATAAATGATTAATTGAAGTATTTAAGCTGAATGAACTATCCGTATAAAAGTTTACTGTCTCCAAGGAGGTTTCAATAAGTCCTTACGTAAAACTTAAATTTACGCCGCGTTCCAGAGTGGGACATAAAAAGCTTCTCTTTTGGTGAATAATTTGTTGTTACTGCTTTAAAAATAATTTCATTTACTTAAAACTATATATTTATTAAAGTATTTGTTAGGAAAAATTTTCTTGTATAGCAGAATATAAGAAATAAGGAGAAAAAGCTCCCAAAAACTCTAAGTATGGCTTGTTCTGTCAACTAATATTCATGGTAAAGTCCTATTTCAAGGAAATTTTCTCATAAAATGTGTTTTGGAGACTCAATCCACTCAGAATATTTCATTATTTGTAATATTTCACTTAAATAGCAAGAAATTTTAACACATGAGAGTACTCACAAGGTCAAAGGTGCATGTACAGCTTCCCATATTAGGTGTAATACCACCATTGATTTTCCCCTATTAGTCTTTGTTATATTTGCACTTTTCAAAAAATTGTGCAGAATTTATCTTTGTTTCAAATAAAGAAATACTTGGCATGAGTAAAGTTTTATCCTGTCCAGTACTATAGAAAAAATTTCACATAACATTTCATTGCATATAAGAAAATAACCATCACTGGAAGTTAACCAATCAAATTTTCCCCCTTTTTTAACCTGTGTACAAGATTTAGTAACCATGTAACCTCAAGTTTCCAAAATATTCTATAGAAACCCCAAATAAAAAAATAATTGTGCTTTGAAATACCCAAGATATATGTTTATTACCCAGAAATGTTTTACTGCAATGAAATGTAGGATCAATTACCTACAACTGTCAAATGCAAGGGAATATTTTTTTTCGACCTATTTTCGTATGCAACCGGATGTGACGTACTATGATTTGCTGGTATTACACCTAAAGAAGACTTTTTTGTTAAATAAACTGAATGTGACTTTTTTCCTTTGTAATACTGGTTATTTCAAGCATTCCTGTCAAGTTTTGTCATAATCAGTTCAATAGTTTGAGAAAAATCTAGTATAATGTAAGACGACATCTACAGCGATTCGAGCAAAATTTCTTCGAAAAATCCAAACCAAGCCGCATCATGATAGAATATAGTGTGGACCAATAAATTATCAAATATTTATCTCATCTGCCTACAAACAGTTGAATATGATACAAAAGAAGACTTTAGGATGATAAATACTACTAATGGACCTCTTTTTCTTCCTTATAAGGTCTCTTTTGGTCCATTTATACCTCTCATTTCCTCAAAATTTCTACTTTTTAGGCCAATAAATAA